TTCCTGCTGGGCGTGGCCAACTCAGGAGCCAGCCGGAACTCCGTTCCTGCCCAAAAATAGCCCTGTTTGTAGGTATGTAGGGCTCTCTTTCGGCTGTGCTCTTGCAGAGTGCAGGGGGTGGGACTAGATGACCTGCAAGGTCCCTTCCGACTCTAACATTCTATCTCTCCTTATATATAATTGAATAGTGGGTGCCAAAGTTCTAATTCTAAAATGCACTCCCTTAGTGTATGGCTGATGGCACTGCTCCTCAGCATATATCGCCACCAATCAGAAGGCAAAGCCCGGGTCCCGCCCACACCACAACTGCTGCGACAACCTGGTCTTTTGCATATGGAAGCTGATTGGACTTCACTCCATTCCACACCTCAAACTCCCCCCCCCAAGGCAGTTGGAATGTCAGTTACATATGGAACCTGCTGTATTCTGGTGGTGTGCAGGTCCCAGGTTCATGATTTAAAAGCAGACTGACACTGTTTGCCCAAAGCCAGAGCACTCTCCCAGAGCCTCTTTCTAGATCCCGTTGTATTTATTTCCACAACGGGCCTTATTTCTAGTGATTCTATAAGCCAAATGACACGAAGGGTGCAGCCAGAGTCATGACCTCGTTGGTGCCCGGCAGCAGACCCACAGTACCGGGGGCAGGAAATCCAAGCGAAGAGCCAGAAGGTGTGCCATGGTGGGGAACAAGGCCAAGGGTCACAGCTGGGGAGCTGGAGACCCCTGTCAGACTCCATCCTGACCCACAGGCTGAAGACCACGGGCGTAAATGATCAACTAGGCTGCTATTTCTCTCGCTCTATACAGCACACGGGACACCACGGGCACTCGACAGAAGTCTCACATCGGGTTCCGCCAGTGGAACAGCTGCTAAGGCCTTTGACTCCCCCAAGGGCAATCTGCCCAGCTCCTCTCTGACAGACAACAGGCCACGGACCATGCGCAGAAAGACAGGAGGCGTGAACCCACAGCCCCCGGGAGAAGACGGGCTCCCCGGCACTGACCCACCTGGAGCCACAAACTGCTTGACGCTGGTGAATCTGGACTTGTCGGGCACCGTGGTGACGGAGCAGCCTTTCGGGATGGTCCACTCGCCTGGCCGGCCACTTGGGTCCCTCTCCTCGGCCGTTTCGTACACCTCCACGTGGGGGGGCTTCTCGGTCAGGTTCTTGCTGTAATGGCTGAGTCCGTACTGGGCGATCTGGATGGGGTAGAAGTAGCCCTGGGGCCCCCACTGGGTGGACAGCGGCACGCCTGCGACAACACAGGAGGGGAAGACACAGGGTGAGCCACGGTAGGAACTGCGGAGAGGCAGCCTCCTGAGGACCGACCAGGCCGAGGAGACGCCTTCCAGCCAGCCCTCTGTCTCCAACTGCACTCCGCAGACACAAGGGGAAGTCATAAGAACATAAGAACATAAGAGACGCCAATGTTGGATCAGGCCAAAGGCCCATCCAGTCCAACACTCTGTGTCACACAGTGGCCAGAAATACCAGGTGCCATCAGGAGGTGCAGCAGTGGGGCCAGGACATTAGAAGCCCTCCGACTGTTGCCCCCCCCCCAAAGAACCAAGAATACAGAGCATCCCTTGCCCCAGAGTCCCTATCTATACCTTGGGCTAATAGCCACTGATGGACCTCTGCTCCATATGCTTATCTAATTCCCTTTTGAAGCCGTCCATGCTTGTAGCCGCCGCCACCTCCTGTGGCAGTGAATTCCAAGTGTTAATCACTCTTTGGGTGAAGAAGTACTTCCTCTTATCCGTTCTAACCTGACCGCTCTGCAGTTTCATGGAGTGCCCACGAGTTCTTGTCTTGTGAGAAAGGGAGAAAAGTACCTCTTTCTCTACCTGCTCTTTCCCATGCATAATCTTATAAACCTCGATCATGTCACCCCTCAGTCGTCTTTTCTCCAAGCTAAAGAGCCCTAAGCGCTTTAACCTTTCCTCATAGGGAAAGTGTTCCAACCCTTTTATCATTCGAGTTGCCCTTTTCTGCACTTTTTCCAAAGCTATAATATCCTTTTTAAGGTGTGGTGCCCAGAACTGCACACAGTATTCCAAATGAGGTCTCACCATTGATTTATATAGGGGCATTATTATATTGGCTGATCTGTTTTCAATACCCTTCCTAATAATCCCCAGCATAGCATTGGCCTTCTTTATTGCAGTCACACACTGTCTCGACATTTTCAGTGAGTTATCCACTACAACTCCAAGATCTCTCTCTTGATCAGTCTCTGCCAGTTCAGACCCCATCAACGTGTATTTATATTTAGGATTTTTGGCTGAGTCCAGTGGCAGCTTTGACCAACAAAATCAAGGTACAAGCTTCCGGGTGCATGCACACTTCTTCAGTCGGTATCTGAAGAAGTGCCACATGCACACAAAAGCTTATGCCCATGTATAGAAATTTTGCTTTCTGCTTTCTTATAATCCATGCCTTCTCCTGTGATTACATTCTGATAACATGCTGTGCCTTGTTTCCTCTTGCTAGCCACATGGTAAAGCCAAATGGCCTCAGTAGCCATGCCATAAACCCACATTCTTTCACACTTTCATACCAAAAGCCAGACCCACATGCAACAAGTCAGGTAGGCCATGAAGTACCTGAAAACTAGGTCAATTGCTTGCAGGCGTGGCCTCCAAACTTCTAGCCATTCCTGTGTTGCAGCTATAGCAATCAACAATTGGACACAGCTATGTCCACTCGTGATTGGCTGAATGGCCACGGCTAATCATGACTGAAATTGGGCTATAATTGTTCAGTCCCTATGGGAATGAGCTCTCTCTTAGCTCTTGCTCTCTCTGCTTGTTTTATGGCACCTAGAAATGCCGTCTAGTGAGAGACAAATAACTGCTTTGTGAATTGGACCACATGGATGAGCAAAGATGGATTTTTCCTTCAAAATCCCTTGGACTGTTTAGATGTTCCTGAACTTGGTAAATATGGATCTTTTACTGTGTAGTTACGGCAAATCGCCTTAGGCTTGTTATTTTGGTAACTCTGGTAGTCTGTGTTAAGCTCTGTACTGAATAAAAAATTATTCTTGTTTCTAAATGGTCTCTGATGTTGTACCAGAGTTCCAAGTCTAAATCTGGTGGCTAACCCTGACCACATACGCTACCTTGGTAAGAGTGTGCATCTCTGAGTGAGTTGCTATTGTGTTAAATCCCAGATGCTAACTAAGGGTTTGGAATCTCTCCCTTAGGAAAGGCAGGGACCAGTGAAAAGAGGTTCTGGTGGCATATTGTTCTGAAACCAGAGAGGATTTAGACCATCTCGTAGTTTGTTGTTTAATGTACTGTAAAAGTACAGGGTTCCCTCCCATCCCTGGACTGGCTTGGGTGGGAAAATCCTATACAGCCCAGAATAAAACTTGATTGGTCTCAAAGGTGCCCCTGGACTCAAACATTGTCTTGCTGCTTCAGACCAACATGGTGACCCACCTGAATCTATATGAGAAGGACGGCGGGCTCGTTGGAGGCTTCTCAGCCGTGCTCACAGACCACTAGATCCCTCCAGTCTAGTGGGATCTTCTTATCCTGACTGTGAATGTCTCAAGGAGCAGCCACAGAGCTGCATCAGACACGATGCTGAATGGCTGTGAGACTCGGTGGACTGGGAGCCACATGTGGCTCTCTGATATGCCCCCGTGGCTCTTCCCCAATGCAGCACCCAACCAGTGTTCCCTCTAAGCTGAGTTAGTGCGAGCCAGCTCACCGTTTTTCTAGCCTCCGGCTCACACAACTTTGCCTTGGCTCAGGAAGGGATGGCTCCAGAGCAAATCAACTGATGCCGTAGCCAAATCGCTCACTCACAACTTCGATGCCAGTCGCTCACACAGTAGGATTTTTGCTCACAGGGCTCCACAGCTTAGAGGGAGCCCTGCACCCAACCCATGTTTCAGGAAAGGGACAGTGCATGTGCCCCGTAGGGCTTAAGAACATAAGAACACAAGAGAGAAGCCACTGCTGGATTGGACCAGTGGCCCATCCAGTCCAACACTCTGTGTCACACAGTGGCCAAAAGTACCAGGTGCCATCAGGAGGTCCACCAGTGGGGTCAAGAGGACAATAGAAGCCCTCCCACTGTTGCCCCCACCAACCATCAAGAAGGCAGAGCATCACTTGCCCCAGACTGAGAGTCCCCATAAGAACACAAGACAAGCCAATGTTGGATCAGGCCAGTGGCCCATCCAGTCCAACACTCTGTGTCACACAGGGGCCACAAATACCAGGTGCCATGAGGAGGTCCAGCAGTGGGGCCAGGAGGACACTAGGAGCCCTCCCACTGTTGCCCCCCCAAGCACCAAGAATACAGAGCATCCCTTGCCCCAGACCGAGAGTTCCTATAAGAACACAAGAGAAGCCAATGGTGGATAAGGCCAATGGCCCATCCAGTCCAACAAAGGGGCCAGAAATATGAGGTGCCATCAGGAGGTCCAGCAGTGGGGCCACCCAGGACACTAGGAGCCCCCCCACCTCTTGCCCCCCCTCCAAGCACCAAGAAGACAGAGCATCCCTTGCCCCAGACCGAGAGTTCCTATAAGAACACAAGAGAAGCCAATGGTGGATAAGGCCAATGGCCCATCCAGTCCAACACTCTGTGTCATACAGTGGCCAGAAATACCAGGGACCATCAGGAGGGCCAGCAGTGGGGCCACCCAGGACACTAGGAGCCCCCCCACCTCTTGCCCCCCCTCCAAGCACCAAGAAGACAGAGCATCCCTTGCCCCAGACCGAGAGTTCCTATAAGAACACAAGAGAAGCCAATGGTGGATAAGGCCAATGGCCCATCCAGTCCAACACTCTGTGTCATACAGTGGCCAGAAATACCAGGGACCATCAGGAGGGCCAGCAGTGGGGCCACCCAGGACACTAGGAGCCCCCCCACCTCTTGCCCCCCCTCCAAGCACCAAGAAGACAGAGCATCCCTTGCCCCAGACCGAGAGTTCCTATAAGAACACAAGAGAAGCCAATGGTGGATAAGGCCAATGGCCCATCCAGTCCAACACTCTGTGTCATACAGTGGCCAGAAATACCAGGGACCATCAGGAGGGCCAGCAGTGGGGCCACCCAGGACACTAGGAGCCCCCCCACCTCTTGCCCCCCCTCCAAGCACCAAGAAGACAGAGCATCACTTGCCCCAGACCGAGAGTTCCTATAAGAACATCAGAGAAGCCAGTGTTGTATCAGGCCAGTGGCACATCCAGTCCAACACTCTGTGTCATACAGTGGCCAGAAATACCAGGGGCCCTCAGGAGGTCCAGCAGTGGGGCGTATGGGTGGCAGGTGGAAACAGAGGAACGGATATGCTGTGAGCATCCATGGAGTGTGGGCCTCATGCTAGAGATGGCATTAAACGCGGCTCCTTTGGTCGATGGTCACTACGATGCCCCCTGACCTGGAGGGCCCAGGCCGGCCCACTCTCGCCAGATCTCGGGAGCTCCGCAGGGTCAGTCCTGGCCAGTATTTGGATGGGAGACGACCCAGGAAGCCCAGGGTCACTCCACAGAGGCGGGCAGTGGCATTAACCGCCTCTGAACGCCTCTCGCCTTGGAAACCCTCCGGGATCGCCATAAGCCAGCTGTGACTTAATAGCGCCTTCCGCTACCACCCACGGCGGATTCAGCTCTCTGTGACCTGTGGGGTGAGTGCCACTGCCTTAAGATGGGAACCCAAGCTCCATAACTCAGGACCACTGCTCCCTCTAAGCTGTGGAGTCTTGTGAGCAAAAATCCTACTTTGTGAGCGACTGGCCTTAAAGTTGTGAGCGAGCCATTTGGCTGCTGCAGAAATCAGTTTGCTCTGGAGCCATCCTTCCTGAACCAAGACAAAAAGTGTGTGAGCTGGAGGCTACAGAGCCGTGAGCTAGCTCACACTAACTCGGCTTAGAGGGAACATTGCTCAGGTACCCTGCTGAGTCTCCCGAGAGGGGCTGCCCCCGGCACGGGGATGGGGGACAATGCTCCCTCTAAGCTGTGGAGTCTTGTGAGCAAAAATCCTACTTTGTGAGCGACTGGCATTACAGTTGTGAGCGAGCCATTTGGCTCCTGCATCAATCAGTTTGGTCTGGAGCCCTCCTTCCTGAGCTAAGACGACCTGTGAGCCGGAGGCTAAAAAACTGTGAGCTAGCTCACGCTAACTCAGCTTAGAGGGAACACAGGACTAAGTCCCACCAAAATATTCCCAAACACTTAACCACCCCGCACATGCAGAAAGAATTCGGGTTATTTCTTACAGAGGCCTATCTTAAAGGCGAACTCTGATTGTATCGGTACTTTATGCCAAGATCCAGGACGGCGTTCATTTAAGTGCCAGTGTTTCTGTACCGACACAGCTTGAGGAACGTAGGCTCAGGCGAGGAGGAGAAAAGCTGACCTTCCACACCACTGATGCACTTCACACGGTCCCGGACCTCCACATTGTAGCCCTCAAAGGACATGAAGACCCCATCCGGGTGGTAAGGGGCTCTCTGGGCATACACCTTCGAGTAGCTGTGGGAGAACTCAAAGCGGTCGTAGCCGTCGTACTGGGCAACCTTCCCGTAGACCTCAAAGTACTTCTCCACCCACGAGAAGGGCAGGAAGACCTCGGCCCCCTCTCGCCGGCCCTTGACGGTGTACTCCTCGTTGACCAGGCAGTCGATCTCCTCGTACTTCAGCCCCGGCGGGACTTTATTCCCGTTGAAGCCGCCGACCACGGGGGGAGCCTTCTGCTGCTCTTGGGGGGAGGCCTCTTCGCTCTGCTGCCTGGCCGGGCTGTTCGCATCGTTGTCGCTCTCCGAGGCGGCGGCGGCTCGCTTCTCCAGCCCCTCTGCTCGGAAGACGCCGTTTGCGTCACGGGAGAACAGTGCCGTTCGGTCGCTGGAGCATCTGTTCCACAGCAGGACCGTGACCAGGGTGAAGAGGACACAGATGACGATCAGAGTCTTATAGTTGACCCGAGCCGCCAAGCAACGCATATTCACATCATACCTGAAAAAGGAGGAGGAGGAGAAGAAAAGAAAGAGGGGTAAATACGGGAGGCAGCCACTTCTCGGATCTTGCAGAAAGGTCAGGGAGCACTTCGGCCCAACACGCTTAGTCTTTGTCCACGGCTCGTGCCACACCCAGCCAGAGAAAGAACTAGCAGCTCACACGGGGTCCTCAAAGGGAAGAGTGCCAACAGAGGCAAACTTGGCTCCCCTGTTGATCTCCAGAGCACCACAGTGGTCTCAATCTTCCCCTGAAAAGCGCAGCCTCAAGCTCATGCCCTAACCCTAACCCTAACCCTAACCCTTGCATGGTAGTGGAGTGGAAATCCAATAGCCTTGGCCAGCACTCCGTAAGAACCTCAGGAGAGCCCTGCTGGATCAGACCGGATCTCCATCCAGTCCAGCCTCCTGTCTCACACAGTGGCCAGCCAGTTCCTCTGGAGGGCCAACAACAGGACAGAGAGGCCGAGGCCTTCATAAGAACAGCCCTGCTGGATCAGACCTGTGGTCCATTCAGTCCAGCCTCCTGCCTCACGCAGCGGCCAACCAGTTCTTCTGGAGGTTCAACAACAGGGCACAGAAGCCGAGGCCTTCCCCTGAGAAGAACATCAGAAGAGCCCTGCTGGATCAGACCAGTGAAGGTCCACCTAGTCCAGCATCCTGCCTCACCCAGTGGCCAACCAGTTCCTCTGGAGGGCCAGCAACAGGGCAGAGAGGCCGAGGCCTTCCCCTGAGAAGAACATCAGAAGAGCCCTGCTGGATCAGACCAGTGAAGGTCCATCTAGTACAGCATCCTGTCTCACACAGAGGCCAACCAATTCCTCTGGAGGTCCAACAACAGGCCATAGAGGCCAAGACCTTCCCCTGAGAAGAACACCAGAAGAGCCCTGCTGGATCAGACCAGTGAGGGTCCAGCGTCCTGTCTCCTACAATGGCCAACCAGTTCCTCTGGGCGGCCAACAACAGGGCATGGAGGCCGAGGCCTTCCCCCGAGAAGAACATGAGAAGAGCCCTGTTGGATCAGACCAGCGAGGGTCCCTCTAGTCCAGCATCCTGCCTCACCCAGTTCCTCTGGAAGTCCAACAACAGGGCATAGAGGCCGAGGCCTTCCCCTGATGTTGCCTCCTGGCAATAATTTAGCTTTCTCAGCGGGTAGCCATGTTGGTCTGCAATAGAAGAGTAAGTCTGGAGTCCAGCAGCCCTTTAGAGACCCACAAGATTTTGGAGATAGGAGCTTTTGAGATTCAAAGCCCCCTTTGGTCAAACTGGACTCAAATCAAACTATACATTTTCAGAACGGGTTATTGAGATCCATTTTATGATGGGGGAGAGACACCCCCCCCCAACTCCCTTCATTAAGGTTAAAAACAGCGTCTACAGCCTCTGCTCTAGTGTCAAATGCTTGATGAGGAAGAGTTCCCACCACAGACCTGGACTGGGCAAGTCCTCCAGTACATTTGCCTGGTACGTGTGAACGTCCACTTAGCTGTTGCACACGCCCCTCAAACCTCCCTGATTCAACACGGCCCCCGACAGGAGGAGAGCCCCACCACCGCTGGAGACACGAAAGGGGATTCTCTTATCCTCGTGGCCTGTGGAGAGAGCCACAGAAAGGCCACACAGAAAGGCAGTGGATGGAGACCCTTCTACCAACTTCAGCAAGTTTCGCATCAGATTGGGGGAAGCTTCTAATTCAACAGGTTGGACGTATGCTCTAAACCCCTGAAGGCCAGGAAAAGCGCCCAGCACATTAAGAATCACAGCTCTCGCCCTGACCTGGATATAACCCAGGCAAGCCCGATCTCGTCAGACCTCGGAAGCTAAGCAGGGCCGACCCTGGCAAGGACTTGGAACTGCTTGGGACTCCAAGGAATACCAGGGCCAAGACGCAGAGGCAGGCAACAGCAAGCCACCTCTCTGAAATGTCCAAGCCCCACTCGGGGTCACCAGAAGTCAACCTTACTTCCAGGCAAACCACACACACACACACACGCACAAACAATAAAGGTAAAGGTTCCCTTGCTCGAAAGCCAGTCGAGTCCGACTCTAGGGTTGCGGTGCTCATCTCCGTTTCAAAGCCGAAGAGCCAGCGCTGTCCGAAGATGCTTCCGTGGTCATGTGGCCGGCATGACTAAACACCAAGGCGCACGGAACCCTGTTACTTTCCCACCGAAGTGGTACCTATTTATCTACTTGCAGTTTCTTGCTTTCGAACTGCTAGGTTGGCAGGAGCTGGAACTAGAGATGGGAGCTCACTCCGTCATGCGGCACCTGGGTCTCAAACTACTGAACTACCGACCTTCCACAGCCTGCAGTTCAGCGTCTTAACCACTTGAGTTAATCTACTTGCAATTTCTTGCTTTCGAACTGCTAGGTTGGCAGGAGCACAAAGAATACTCACATACAAAAAAGAATTACAGCTCTTGTTTGAGGAAAAAGTGAGATTCCAATCCTTGGCTGATTTCGCACGAGAGCTGCCTTGATGTTGCGCCGCCGTTTGCCCCGATACTATTGGTCAATTTCACACCCGAAGCTGCGGGGCTGCATTTTGACTTGTGGCTTTGCCCGATTTCCCCCGCAGTTTCGTGATCCTGTTTTTTGAGGATCACAAAACTGCGGAGGAAATCAGGCAAAACTGCGGGTCAAATGCCGCCCCGCGGCTTCGGGTGTGAAATTGACCAATAGTATCGGGGCAAACCGGCGGCGCAACATCGAGGCAGCTGTAGTGTGAAATCAGCCCTTATGATTACAAAGAAGTAGAGAGGCAAGGAAAGGGCCTGAAGCCGCTGCCACAGCAAACAAGGTAAGAACTGCACATGAGATAGTAGAAATGATAGAATTGTGCAAATTAATTAACATATAAACACACAGGGCTATTTTTGGCCAGGAATGCACAGGAACGGCGTTCCGGCTGGCTCCCAAGTTGGCCACGCCCAGCAGGAACTCATTAGCATAATAGGCCACACCCAACATCAGAAACTCATTCGGATTGGCTACAATTAGGGGTGTGTGGCCTAACATGCAAAAAGCCCTGAGTTTTGACAACAAACAAGGTAAAGAGAATAAGAATCAAAAGGTGGGTGTGGCTGGATGACCACACTTCTGGTAACACGGGGGCATGGCCTAATAGGCAAATGAGCTGTGCTGTGAGGGGTGTGGCCTAATATGCTAATGAGTTCCTGCTGTTGGGTATGGCCTATTATGCTAATGAGTTCCTGCTGGGCTTTTTCTACAAAAAGAGCCCTGTTAACACACATAATTTAGTTTGCCCGGATGCAACATTTTAGTTTAGGGTTTGTTGTATTTCAGTGCAGAGAGCGGCTAATGGAAACACTGACTACACCGTCTCTGGCACCTCCAAAAGCTGAGTGGCCCATTTTGCCTTCCTAAGCGGGCGAGTGAATTCTACTCGAGTCCTGTTCAATGGGACGCGCTCCCAGGAAAGCAGAGTTGCCATTGCAAGTCTCTCCAAATGCCCCAAAGCGCTGCAACGGTGCCCAGGCTCACCCACAAAGACAGATCTTGTTTCAAAAGGATTTCTGGCCTTCCCAACTTTGCTGTTTGCTAGTCACCAAAGAGGACACAAGGACGTGAGACAGAGGACCTCAGTGGAGTCCCCCTGACTCGGTTCCCACATGATTTCTCTGTCTCTCATCACACGGTATCACATCATATGGAGCAGAGGTCCATCAGTGGCTATTAGCCACAAGATATAGATAGGGACTCTGGGGCAAGGGATGCTCTGTCTTCTTGGTGCTTGGGGGGGGGGGTCAACAGTGGGAGGGCTTCTAGTGTCCTGGCCCCACTGGTGGACCTCCTGATGGCACTGGTATTTCTGGCCACTGTGTGATACAGAGTGTTGGACTGGATGGGCCTTTGGCCTGATCCAACATTGGCGTCTCTTATGTTCTTATGTTCACAGTGCTTTGTTTTTTATTTAACATCCACGGCTCGTGCTCCTTTAACCACACCGTACATCCCGGCTTTCTCTGGGGCCCCGGCTTCTGAAAAGCTGGCAGCCAGAATCCCCGGGTTGAGGTAAGAGGCGAAGAACAGATTCTGTTTACAGGAAGCGGCCGAGACAGCAACAAGCAGCACACTCTTT